CGGGAAAGCAGCACACTGGGTGGGCGTGCTTCGAAGTTTTTCTGGAACACAGTTGAATGTAGATATCATGAACGCAAGGTGCAGGAGTCTAGTTGCCAAAAGGCATGCTCAGCAGATGAAATGCGAAGGAGATGCCTACTCTGTACCTCGAGTCAAAATAAAGCCGACTCTATATTAGCTTAGGTTGACTTTTTTTATGGCAATGACTTTGTCTTAAAAAAAAAAAAGAAGGTTGGCATTATCTTTGCCCTTGTCTTAATGGTTGGACTAGAACTTACCCCAACCGTCACTGAACGGGCAGACATGACAATTGCTAATGATCCCCTTAGAAAGGAAAAATTTTACGAAGGAAAAGCAAAGAGGAAAAAAGAGTTTGACGTAAAATGATTTTTGAACATGCATGGAGTTTCAATGTAGTGATTGCATGCATATGACCACAAAAGTTGGAGATACATATTTCGAAGTTAATTTGGAATATGTAAGTTAAATTTATGAAGTGATAAGGAATGATTTAAAAAAAAATTAAATCTAATATAAATTATGACTTATGATAGAAAAGAGTGGAAAAAGAGAGTGGCTGACCCCGTTTGTACGGAATAATGGCAAGAATGATGATGATGAATAATTCAAAATTTTAAGTTTAGGTGAGCATCTTACTTGGGGTGAAAAGGTTCAATCTATCCATCTTGAAAGCCTGATTCTCTAATTTAATGCATTAATTGTGCTTTCTATTACATTAGGAGATAGTGCACTAGAGAGGATCCCATCTCATCCATCTTAACCATGTCTCTTTTTCCTCCAAATATACATATAATTATGTCGCACAAACAATCATTTTTAATAAAGTCTCATTATAACACCTAGCTAACCTATTTTAGAGAGATTACTTACATAATAAATTAAATTAATAGTTTTGATCAAAGTCACAGTTAATTTCTCTCTCTCTCTCTCTCTTCTCAATACTTAAATACTTATTTGTTTAGCTGAATTTAGTTTGCCATTGATCACCTTTGATTCATTCATTTTTTGTTATTGTCGTCAATTAGTAGTAACACAGGATTAATTTCACGTTTCCTTGACATCTCGTTAAATACTATATTTGGTTACAAATAGTAGCAGGGGGGTATGGGTCAGACCGCTCCTCCTGACACTACCCTATATCTTCTATGCTTTTCCATGCACTTTCTTTTTGAGTTTTTTTTTTTTTTTTGGGTAGTTAAACAACACGCACTTTCAAACACACTGTTCATGTGTGGCTGAAACCATTCACCTCCCCATTAGGTTGAAGTTTGCAGAGAAAATGTAGAGAGAGTAAATAAGATTTTCACCTCGTAGGTATTTATTTTAAATTGTAGATCTTCGTGGAATTTTCATGTGGTGATTGCATCAATATGGTCACATAAGTTGGAGATACATATTTCAAACTTAATTCAGAACGTGCAATTCTAATTTTTAAGTTTAGATGTGCATCTTACTTGGGATGAAAAGTTTCAGACCATCCATCTTGAAAGTCGGATGTTTTTCTTCAATGCATTGTGCTTTCCATTGCAGTGGGGGACGGTGCACTAGATAATATCCCGTTTCATCCATCTTAACTATGTCTTTTTCTCCTCACATGTTTCACAAAAAAATATTGTTAATAAACAGGATATCTTGGGAGTCGAGAAGTCATGATTGTTATACTTAGCAAACCTATTTTTGAGTTATTGGTCATTATATTTTAATCTGACTTGTTCATTATTTTTTGTAAATTAGTAATAACACGGGAATAATTTTACTTGTTCCCGTGATCCCATTAACTAATAATTTGATTACTGATGGTAGCTTGATGGGTATGGGTCAGACCTTCTTCCCAGCCCTATCCCATCTCTTCTAAGTCTTCTCATGCACTCACTTTTATTAATTTCTACTTGTTTACTGGCTAGGTAGAAAAGTTGAGCAAGTATGACATTTTACTTTATAGGACTTTATATTAGACAAGGCATTTATTTAAATTGCTATTTGTCTGATGTGCCCAGCAAGAGGCTACATTCAGTGGCAACTTCATATATATTAGATATACCATCTAAGAAAGATCCCTAAAACTTTAAAGGACAACTCTTAAATAGACTGGAAAACCAGTTTTATTTCTCATACATATAGATACCTACCAACCTCTTAATTAGTACACTTGGTTTTTTTTTTTTTTTCTCTCATACATAAAAAACTATCAAGCCAAACAGCTTCTTACACAATGGACCAAACAGAAGGCCTTCCTTGAGAGGTAGCCCTTGGACTAAGGACAGTCGCCTCCTCTCTGTTATACTTTAACCTCCTTGCTTCATCTCTAGAAACCTGATAAGCATGGACTAGGACATTCTCTGGCAGTGCCCGCGAGTGGACTGGTCTTTGCGAAGTCGTTGGTCTTGAATGAAATCCATTCAAAGCCTTGGTTGCCAGCTTTCTTCACAACACCAAAGTTCTGTGGAACAATGTGCAACTGACCAGCACGTACTTCTCCGTCAAAGGCAAGCCTCTGAGAGTTTCCAACGATCTGAATGTGGGCATTTCCCCTTATCACGTATACCACGCTGTGTGTGTTTCCAATTAGGTGCTACCAAGGCATTCTGCACCAAAGTTAACATTGTTATCCATTAGAAAGCATTTTTGATAATGAATGTCTTAGTCCATTAATTTATGACGCTCTTAGTGCATTAATGTATATCCTGTTTATGCAGGGGTGCAGGGAGGGAAGAATCAACACAGATTTGTTGTACCATATTCGTCAGTCTGAACTAATGACCCCTTTTAGAATTTCCTGTTATTCATAAAATTAAAATCCCATACTGTAGGTAAATGCTCACTAAGAATGTATGTCTTACCCCGTAGAGAACTCCTCTCTCAGCATTCTGTTGGAGATGTCTCAAAATGGGAAGGTTGTAGCTGTTAACAGTGCTTTTGTGCCTACCACGAGCTGAGTACATGTCAGTGCGCTCTGGGTTAGCAATGTTCTCTCGGATCCTCATGCTGCAAATGGTCTCCTCCAAGCCATTGTATCTCCCTCTTTCTCTTTTTTTCTCTTCTTCTTCTTCTTCAAACCTTGGCCTTGTCAATTGAAGCCCTTTTTCAACCCTCGTGATGTTTCCTCTCCTATCGTTCTCGTTATGTAGCCTCTTGCAGTCTCAGTGTCTACATTGAAAGCTTCGGCCAGAATCTCGACATTAAAACCTTGGAAAATATTGTTGCTGAAGCATTGTTGTTGCCCATAAAGCTTCTTGGTTGCTGCTCTTGTTGGTTTCCGGCAAGGAAGAACCTCTGTTTCATTCAAAAACAAGGGATTAATTTTTGTGAAAACTACCATTTTGTGCATTATTTAGTTTTGGGGAAAATATTGCAAAACTAGCAAGTACTTCTAAACACTAACTACAAAACATTCAACAATTAAAATTTCTTACCAAAATATATATACGAACCTTTAATAATTCAGAGTAGCCCTTGATTTCTTACCCTGAGTCTCTGATCAATCTGGTTGGCATCGTTGTTGGTGTCAAGAACCACAACAAGAACTAGTTGGTTGTTGCCGTCATTGTAGGACCAATGGGCTATTCCGGACGGCAAGGCGATAATGTCTCCTTGGCGGAAGCGTCGGACCTTTTGGTGCTGCTCCCTTGACCTCTGGGATGTTCTTCCTTCCTGAGATTGCTGGAAGGATTGGTATGTTCCTGGGCAGCCAGGAATCGTGGTCCCTAGTAGTCCTTGACTTGTTCATGGGTTACAAATTATATATAAATACCTGACATAAATTGATATAAAATCAAATATGTGTGCGTGTTTTAGTAGTGCTGTATGCTTATATGCGTTTATGTTATATGCATGTGGTGATTAATTTGTTTGAATAAAGCACACATTTGGAGCTTTATTCACAATGTGCTCAACTGTTTAATTGTCGAAATGATAATTGTACAAAAGGATTCTTTGTATGGTTTTTAAGTATCTCAAAATTGTAAGCATTTTTATATAAATAGTATATATAATATATTTGGAAATGACATTATAAGACAAATTACGAGTATGTAACAAATTGCAATCAAATCGTAGGCATGAATATCTAAAATGTACTAATATATGGAAATGAGAATTTGGAAATTCAGATTATAGATATGTTGTAGAGGCTAGCCTTGCAGAACATAGACTAGCATGGGAGCATTGTTGTAAGATGACGAGTTGCTGCCACGCCGGCACACTCCAACTGGTTATTTTTCTGGTCCCGTTCTTCAGTAACGCCGGCCTCATGCTGAAAGCGGCAAACAGGTTCGAGAGGATTGAGGTTCTGGACACGGCATTCGTTCTGTTGTTGTTGCTGTGATTGAGAAGATTGCCGTTGAGCTAGGCTGCCATGGCACAGAAGGAGAAGGCAGAGTGTGGTGGAGAGAAAAGAAGAGTCAGTCATCGACATATGGTGTGCAAATTAAGAAGAGTTTCTTAATTTGAGGTTTGGGGATGGTGAGATTGTGGTCTGTGAAGGGAATTTATAGGAAAGAAAAGTTCCCTAGTTTATAACACCTGTTAAGTGTTGTTTGTCATATTGTCCACTTTTGCATGGCCTTTAAACAGTATGTGAATATGCGGCAACTTGGTTATTTATGTTTGGCCAATTCTGCATGAGCTTATGTCTTGTTGATTTTGCATGTCAAATATATGATATTGTCAGCAATTAATGTAAGTAATTTTCTAGAAATGCTGGCAAATGTTATTAGATTCGAGTTTCTTCTGAATATCTTTGATGATTTCTTTTGGTAGGTAAGTAACACGAGCCCAGATCCTTTGAATACAACATCCGTGCTTTACTGCACCGGATGTGTGTGCCCAAGACAGCATGCAAGCAAACTAAGCACACCAAAGAGAAGAGGAGAGATGTTCACAATTACTAGCCCAAGAAAGCTGCCCATCTCTTAAGGGGTGAGAGCAACCGCGAAAATCACTCGAATCGGTCAGTCTTTTTCTTCAGCTTTTCTCATATTTTAAAAGAAAAGAAAAGGCATGGGAGGGTGTTGCAGATACTTGTGAAGGACGGACTTGACTTTTTCTAATGCTGGAAGACCACTGGAAGACACCTGAAACCAGAGCATATTGCGAAAGCAACACACTGGATGGGGTGCCGGAGTCTGGCTGCCAAAAAGCATGCTTGGCAATTGAAATGCAAAGGAGTTGCCTACTCTGTACCTCCAGTCCAAATAAAGCCAACTCTATATTAGTAAAAGTCGAGAATGGCAATGACTTTGCCTTCCAAGAAGAGAAGGTTGGCATTAGCTTTGCCCATGCCTTAAGGGTTGGACTAGGACTTCCCCCAGCCGTACCTGAACAGGCAGAGATGACGGTTGCTAACCTACCCTTTGGAAAGGGAAAAATTTACAAAAGAAAAGTAAAGAGAGGAAAAAAGAGTTTGACCTAAAAAGCGTGGTGATTGCATGAATATGACCACATGAGTTGGAGATACATGTTTCGAAGTTAATCGGAATGTGTAATTCTTATTTTTAGGTTTAGGCGGTTCTGTCTATCCATCTTCAGAGCCATATTTTTTTAATGCATTGTTCTTTTAACGATTTCTCTTTCTCCTCCAAATGTACGTATACAATCATGTTGCACAAATAATCATTGTCTATAAAGTGGGATATCTTTGGTGTCCAGAAGTCATTGTAACACCTAGCTAGCCTATTTCAGAGAGAGTAATTACATAATAAATTAAATTAATAATTTTGATAAAATTCATTCAGTTTAATTAATTTGTTTCTTTCTTTGGTTTCTCTGGACTTAATTATTTGTTTTTTTTTTTTTTGGTTTGACTTTAGTCTGTCATTGATCACCTTTGATTCATTCATTGTTTGTCAGTCATAAATTAGTAGTAACACAGGATTAATTTGATGTTTTCCTGTGATCTCGTTGACTATTGTATTTGGTTACAGATGATAACAGGGTGAGAATGGGTCAGACCTCTCCTTTGGGTGCTACCCTATCTCTTCTGTGCCTTCTCATGCACTCTCTTTTATGATTTTTTTTGGTGGTTAAGTAGCACAGGCACAGTCAAACAAACCAGACATTGTCCATGTGTGGATCAAACTGCTCCTTTGGGATGAAGTTTTGCTGAGGAAGAGTAGAGAATGCAAATAAGAGTTTGACCTCAAAGGTATTTATTTTAAATTGTAGACATGCGTGGAGTTTTCATGTAGTGATCGCATCAATATGGTCACATAAGTTGGAGATATATATTTCAAAGTTAATTCGGAACATGTAAGTCAATATTTTAAGTTTAGTTATGCATCTTACTCGGGATGAAAAGGTTCAGACTATCTATCTTGAAAGTCGGATGTTCTTCAATGCAGTGTACACAGTTTTATTTCTCATACATAGATAGCTAGCAGCCTCTTGATTAGTACACTCTTTTTTTTTTCTCTCATAAAGAACTATCAAACCAAACAGCTTTTTACCTTGGACTAAGGATAGTCACCTCCTCTCTGTTATACTTTAACCTCTTTGCTTCATCTCTCGAAACCTGATAGTCATGAACTAAGACATCCTCTGGTAATGCCTGGATAGCTGATGTCCTTCTGGCAAGAGGACTGGTCTTTGCGAAGTCATTGGTCTTGAATGAAATCCATTCAAAGCCTTGGTCCCCAGCTTTCTTCACCACAGCAAAGTTTTGTGGAACAATGAGCAACTGACCAGCACGTACTTGTCCGTTAAAGACAGGCCTCTGGGAGTTTCCGACGATCTGAATGTGGGCATTTCCCCTTATCACGTACACCACACTATGCGCATTTATGTTCCAATGAGGTGCTACTTACCAAGGCATTCTGCACCAAAGTTAACATTGTTAACCATTAGAAAGCATTTTTGATAATGAATGTCTTGGACCATTAATTTATGATGCTCTTAGTGCATTAATGTATAGTTTTGTGATACTATATTTCTCAGTCTGAACTAATGACCCCTTTTAGATTTTCCTATTATTCATAAAACTAAAATACCATATAGTATGTAAATGCTCACTAAGAATGTATTTTTTTACCCTGTAGAGAACTCCTCTCTCAGCGCTTAGTTGGAGACATCTCAAAATGGGAAGGTTGTGGCTGTTAACAGTGCTTATGCATCCTCCACAGGCCGAGTACACGTCGGCAAGCTCTGGGTTAGCAATGTTCTCTCGGAGCCTCATGCTGCAAATGGTCTCCTCCAAGCCATTGTATCTCCCTCTCTCTCTTTCTTCTCTTCTTTCTTCTTCTTCAAACTTTGGCCTTGTCAATTGAAGCCCTCTTTCGACCCTCACGATGTTTCCTCTCCTATCGTTCTCGTTATGTAGCTTCCTTGCAGTCTCAGTGTCTACATTGAAAGCTTCGGCCAGAATCTCAACATTAAAAGCTTGGAAAATATTGTTGCCGAAGCGTTGTTGTTGCCCGTACAAGCTTCTCGGTTGCTGCTCTTGTTGGTTTCCGGCAAGGAAGAACTTCTGTTTCATTCAAAAGCAAGGGATTAATTGTTGTGAAAACTGCCAATTTGTGCATTATTTAATAGTTGGGGAAAATAATGCAAAACTAGCAAGTATTTCTAAACACCAACTATATAACATTCTACAATTGATTTTTATTTACCGTTGTATATATATGAACTTTAATATTTCAGAGTAGCCCTTGGTTTCTTACCCTGAGTCTCTGATCAAGCTGGTTGGCATCATTGTTGGTGTCATGAACCACAACGAGAACAAGTTGGTTGTTGCCGTCATTGTATGACCAATGGGCTATTCCGGCTGGCAAGGCGATAATGTCTCCTTGGCGGAAGCGTAGGACCTTTTGGTGCTGGTCCCTTGACCTCTGGGATGTTCTTCCTTCCTGAGATTGCTGGAAGGATTGGTATGTTTCTGGGCAGCCAGGAATCGTACTGTGGTCCCTAGTAGGCCTTGACCTGTTCATAGGTTACAAATTATATATAAATGCCCGACATAAGTTAGTATAAAATCAAATATGTGTTTGTGTGTGTTTTTTGTATTCTAGTATGCTTATGGCCTTAAATGTGCTTATGTTTTTTGTTGACGGAGGGCAAGAGTAGGCCTCTTGGCTCGATAAGATGACGAGTGGCCACCACGCCGGCACACTCAAACTGGTCATTGTTCTGGTCCCATTCTTCCGCGACGCCAGCCTCGTGCTGAAAGTGGCGAGCGGGTTCGAGGGGATTTGAGGTTTTGGACGCGGCATTTGTCTGTTGTTGCTGTGATAGAGAAGATTGTCGTTGAGCTAGGCTGCAATGGCACAGAAGGAGAAGGCAGTGTGGTGGAGAGCAAAGAAGAGTTAGCCATGGATGGTGAGACTGTGGTCTGTGGAGGGAATTTATAGGAAAGAAAAGTAGGGTTAGGTTAGCCTTTAAACAGTATGTGAATACGGGGCAACTTGGTTAATTATGTTTGGCCACTTCTGCATGGGCTTTTTTACTTGTTAGTTTTGCATGACAATTGACCAATATATGAAATTGTCAGCAATTAATGTGAGTAATTTCCTAGAAACGTTGGGCAAATGTTACTAGGTTGGATTGTTTTCTCAATCTCTTTGATGGTTAAACAACACTGAGCCCGGTTCAGTTTTTTTAAAATGTTTTTCAAAAATTTAAAAAATAGAACATTATTTTTTAAAGGACTACAAAATACAGTTATCTGAAAACAATTTTTTTTTTTTAAATTAAGTTTTCAAAAAATTGATTTCTACTATTAAATAGGTTTTTGCATAAATTTTTAATTTTCAAACTTCAAAAAATAAAAAATATTCTTAAAAATTTGAACCAAACTTGTCCTATATATTTGACCTATATATTTCAAAGTTATTTGAAATGTGTGTAATTCTAATTTTTGAATTTAGGTGTCCATCTTACAAGGAATGAAAAGGTTCAGACTATCCATTTTGAAAGTCAAGTGTGTGCTTTCCATAGCCCGGAAAGTAATGTCTTGCTTGGCGTCACATAATTTGATATACATGAATAAAAATGAAATGAAGGTGGGATTGATCACAATAAACAAGGAAAAAAAAAAACACACACACACACAATATAATCTAATTTAGGTTTCGGTTGCATGCATAATTTATATACCTTAACACTTAGGGCATTAATTACTTAATCAGGCACGAATTTGCTGTGGGCTTAGTGGGACGGATAGTTTTTGTTATTGTATTTTATATCTCTAAATTTGTATTTTTTTTTACATTTATATCTATAAAATTTTAAAATTACTCTTACTAAAATTAAATAAATAAATAAATAAAAACCCAACCCTGTACTTAACTATGCTAGTGGTGAACTCTGCCGCTCACACTAGCGACTGATATTTTTTATTTTATTTATTCACTTTTTGGTGAAATAGAATTACAAACAAGTTGTTCCCAATTAAAGACTACGAAATTATTTTTGACCAACTCATCACTCATTACCATTTATAAGGTTATTACCAACAAATCAAAATCCTAGGTGCCGAAACAACCCAAACGCGTCTTCAGGTGACTTGATTTACACACACAGAGAGAGAGAGGGGAGGTGAAAGATGATGAAAAGGAGTGTTATTGCCTCATCAAAGTTCAGAAATGGCGGTGCTCTATCTCTCCAGAAAGGTACCCGTAAGTCTACAACTCCTCTTTTGAAGCATTTTGTTAATTTCTTCATTGATTATCCAATTGCTAGTGACAATTTTAGGGCTTCGTTTCATTCCCAACCTGGTCAAGATCAAAAACCTCAATGTACGAGTAGTCAAATCCGGAACTCTTTTGAATTCACTAACCTTGATGATGCACTGTCATTGTTTGATAAAATGTCTCAAATGCGACCTCTTCCTTCAATTGTTCATTTTAATAAATTGTTAGGGGCCATTGTGAGAATGAAACATTACACCACTGCTATTTCTTTGCTTAACCAAATGGAGTCCTCAGGAATAGCTAAACCAGACGCTTATACTATGGGCATCTTGATGAATTGCTACTGCCATTTGAATCGGGTCGATTTGGGTTTCTCTGTTCTGGGGAGAACTTTGAAGCTTGGTTATGAAGTGAATTGTACAATGCTCAACACTTTGATGAGGGGACTCTGCAGCGAGGATCGAATAGGTCAGGCAATGGAGTTGTTTAATGACATGGGGGCAAAAGGATTTTGACCTAATACAGTTACTTGTGGAACCATTATAAATGGGTTGTGCAAAACAGGGAACACCAGCGCAGCTATTGAATTGGTTAAGAAGATGGAAGAGAGAAATTGGGTAGCTGATGTTTTTGATTATAATATGATTATTGACAGTCTTTGTAAGGACAGATTGGTAGCTGAGGCTTTTGACTTCTTTTCAGAAATGATCCGTAGAGGCATTTCACCTAATATTGTCACTTACACCTCCTTAATCCACGGCCTATGCAATTCAAACCAGTGGAAAGAGGCTACAAGATTATTGAATGAAATGGTGAACCAAAAAATCATTCCGAATGTAAGAATCTTCACTATATTGGTGGATGCACTTTGTAAGGAAGGGAAGCTTGAAGAAGCAGTAGAAATAGTTGAAGTGATGATTCAAAGAGGCGAGCAGCCTAATACAGTCACTTACAACGCACTAATGGATGGATATTGTTTGCAAAGCAAATTTGATGAGGCAAAGAAGATACTTGATTTGATGGTTTGTAGGGGTTGTGCACCTACTGTTCGGAGCTATAACATCTTGATTAATGGATATTGTAAGAAGCAAAGGATGGATGATGCTCTTAGACTTTTTCACGAAATTTCTCAAATAGGATTGGTTCCTGATACTGTTACTTACAACACTCTTATAGGTGGTTTCTGCAATGTGGGAAAACTTTTAGTTGCGCAACAGCTTCTAAATGAGATTCGAGCCCGTGGCCAACATCCTGATCTTGTGACCTACTCTACTTTGTTAGATGGATTGTGCAAGAACCAATGTCTGGCTAAGGCAGTGGCCTTGTTTCGAGACATGGAAGAGAGTGGACTGCATCTTGATATTGTGGTTTACAACACCCTCATTGATGGTATGTGTAGAGCTGGGAACATTAAAGCTGCAAGGGAACTCTTTTGTAGTCTTTCTTTCAAAAGGTTGCAACCTATTGTTTGCACATATAATATCATGATCAATGGACTATGTAAGGGTGGGTTGTTAAGCGAAGCAAACATGTTGCTCAAGAAAATGAAGGAGGGTGGTTGCTCACCGAATGCTTTAACTTACAATATAATTGTCCAGGGATTTCTTCGAAACAATGAGATGTTAAGGGCGATGCAGCTTATTCAAGAAATGGTTGAGAAGGGATTCTCTACTAATGCATGTAGTATGACCCTGTTATTGAATATATCAAATAGTAGTGGATTGGATGGGTCAGTTTTGGAGATGCTTAATAAGTTTCTGTGATTTCTATTGGGTTTTCTCATGTTAAGTGGAAGTTTTATATTTTGATGGCCTTGCAGTGTGTTGTATGTATGGCCTATTGATGCTTGCAGCAGTGTCGTTTTCATGTTTTTGGGGTGAGAATTGTTATTCTATGAGAAGGACGAAGGAGAGAACCTGAGTTGGGTGATGCTGGGGAACTTGAGAAGAATGCCGTAGGGATTTGAATGAAACTGGTTAACTAGATGGGATAGGAAGGTGGCTTGGTGAAGACGAGCAAGGGATTGTCTCCAGGAAAGCGAAGTTGCTGCTGAAGCATATGGGAATTGTGCTTGGAAGAGAGTAGTTTCAAAGCTCTGAAATTTAGCAAACAATGTGTGCTTATCTGCCGTGTATTTTATTTTATTTTATTTATTTTTTATTTTTTATTATTATTATTTTTTCTGTTAGGATGTTCAAGAATGGCACCTCATAAACTTCATTTTCCTTTCTTGTTTAGAATTTGTACAGTGAGGGAAAAGAGGGCTCCCTTTTCAATCCATCTGACCTTTTAGAGATTATTGTAGAAGAAGAAGAAATTGTCCTTAAATCACAGATGCATCCAGTGACAGAGCCAGGATTTCAAGTGAGGAGGGCACACTGTCAAATAATAATAATAATAATATGGAGTACATATATATAACAACTATAAAATTTAAAAAGACAAAGAAGAAGAAAATTATTAAAAGGAAAATAAAAATGAAAAAACTTTAATAAAAAATAGTTAAAAGTTTCAATTGAGGAAGAAAAATTTGACTTTTTCTATTAAGGAAATTTAATGAATGTGAAGAGTAAAAGAAAAAATAATAATATAATTTTAGGAATTACAAATTTGAGAGGGGGGCACTATATAAATTTTGTCATATATATGAAAATTTTTAAAAAAATTACCACATATATTACAGGTTGCTAGCCAATCATCAGCTCCGTCCCTGGATGCATCATTTCCTTTGCTTCCTCCTTTGGTCTGTAAGCTCATTCTTTACCATATTTTATGCCAAATAGTTGAATAATGAATACTCTAAGCCTCTTATGGGATCATATCATGCAAAAGTGTAAAATCAGAGGTTTAAGCATGTCAACCAAAAATTCAAAGAGACAGAAAAGATCATGCTTTATAAACTCAACTTTAAATCCACACACACACACACACACACACACACACACATATATATATATATATATATATATATATATATTCTAACTCCGTGAAGTCATAATTTCTATAGAGTACTAGTTAATTGCTGTACTTTTTATTTATGTATTATATTTTAAACTTCTATCAAATTTAAGATTTAAAAAGGCACATAGAATCATGTTTCATCTATTATATTTAATTACATCACTGTAAGGTACAAATCTTAAATTTTATCTAATTAAGATTCTAAGAGATACAAAGATTTATGCCATCACAAAAAATACAAAATAAAATCTAATTAGACTTATTGTTACTTCTCAGTTTTCTTTATCAATTTTATAAATATTATAATTTTTGTTTTAATTTATATGAATGCCAATAGAAATTTTATTAGTTATTTTTTTATTTACATTTGATGACGTAAGCTTCTATTAAATTTTAGAATTTAAAAAATAAATAAACATGAGGAGATTATGCATGCAAGTAACCAAACATTGGAGAGCAAAGCAAACATTTATTTAGTATCATATTATTAGACATTCCAAAGGAACATAAAGTTTTTTCAAATAGACATTTGACAGAATAAACCAAAAATGATTTCAATCCCCTCAACTAATTAAACAATAAAAGAAGTAGCTCGCCCTTTATTTGTTTATGTTTGCGGTGCATACCTAAACGCCATTAGTACTTTGTTGGTGCTTGCACATTTTTAGCACCGAAGTTGTTGATTATCGCTGAAAATTCAGGTAGAAAGGGAAACAATTTAGGCCATCAACCGTCAACAATTTGAGAGAAGTCCTCACAACATTATGCAAATAGAGCTTTTGAGAAGTGACTCATGAATATATAATTGAATTCAATCTTCTTTTATTGTGAGAGATTGGCGG